AATTAACTTTGTAAATTTATATTGACTGTTTCCTAGTATGATTTGATTGTTGATTGTACCCTATGACTATCATTAAGTGTTGTACGTTATGATTCTTGATTCTTAACAAATGTATCTTTTCTTTATGTATACTGAGAGTATTTACACCAAGACAAATTCCTTGTGTGTCCAATCACACTTGTCCAGTGAAGTATTCTATTCTATACCCTACATTTCAGTTTTTTTATCTGATTTTTTTTGGTCAAATTGGCCAGATTTTTTTTAAAAAAACATACATCTAAAATGTTTTGAACTTGCAAGATAAAGAACCCTAGGGAAGTTTTTGCCCCAAATAATTTACCTTTCTCTGGATTCCAACATTTCTAAGCATTAGGGCTTACTAAATCATTGGGACATCTACTTCCTGCACACTTATGAATTACATTTTTCTCTGACTTTTACTACATCTTTGAGGTTTCCTTGTCTGATGTCACTGGGTAGGGTGGAAAGTCACTGTCATTCTCATGTCTGTTATACATTATGTAGATGTTATATAGGTGTAAAAAAAATAGATGTTGAGACTCTAGAAAAAGTGCAGAGAAGAGCAACTGATTAGGGGGCTGGAGGCTAAAATATTATAGAATGGTTGCTGGGATTAAGTATGTCCAGTTTAATCAAAAGAAGGACTAGGGGTGACATGATGGCAGTGTTCCAGTATCTGCCACAGTCAAGTTATTCTCCAAAGCACCTGAAGGTAGGACAAGAAGAAATGGATGGAAAGTAATGAAGGAGAGAAGCAACCTAGAACTAAGGAGTTAGAACAATTAATCACTGGAATGAGTTGCCTCCAGAAGTTGTGAATGTTCCAATACTGAAAGTTTTTAACAAAAGATTGGACAACCATTTGTCTGAAATGGTATAGGGCAGGGGAGTCAAACTGGCGGTCTGCAGACTGGATGCATCACATGCAGGCCACAACCACCCTGGCTCCACAAAGGCAAAAAAGTCATGATATGTCATGTGACACACCTGAGTTTGGCACCCGTGGTATAGAGTTTTCTGCCTAAGCAGGGGTTGGACTAGAAGACCTACACGGTCTCTTCCAGCTCTGTTATTCTATTTCTATTCCTATTCTTATTCTATTCTATTCCTATTCCTATTCCTGTATTTTTCTCCTCTCCTCTCCTCTCTGTTCTATTCTATTCCATTCCTATTCCTGTATTTCTCTTCCTCTTCCTCTGTTCTATTCTATTCTATTCTATTCTATTCTATTCCTATTCCTATATTTCTCTTCTCTTCTCTTCTCTTCTCTTCTCTTCTCTTCTCTTCTCTT